ATCGAGCCTCAGTTTGAAAGACTCAATGCTTGGAGCACAGACGACGTAGGATGGTAGAGAGTTCCAGATCGAACACACTCTGACTGCAAACGACTGACGCCGGCATTCCAAGCGGCATTTTGAGACCACCAGTTTAAATGGGTGTCCTCTAAGATGAACGATGGGTGATAATTTCAAAAACGGGCGACACGGATGGCTTTGGTTTTGCATTATTTGGTACACCATAATCATATCTCCTCTGATGCGCCGGTAATGATTGGAATATAATCCCAGTAACTTCAGTCTATCTGCGTATGAAAACCGATTCAACCCCCTGACCATTTTTGTGGCCATCCTTTGTGGACGCTCCAGCATCTTGCAATCACGCTGTAGCCATGGATTCCAGGCCTGGATAGCGTATTCTGTGAGTGGTCGCATGTAGGCTGATAGTAGGCGGGGGAATAAAGCTGACTCAAACCGGCCGAAGACCCGCTTAAGCAAGCCGACATCCTTTACAGCTGCGTTGGACACCTTAGAGGACGTCGATCTCTTAAACTTTGAAGTTCGAAAACTTTGTAATTCACAACACTTGTTATTGGTTTTCAAGGGAAACACAAAAGTAGTCGAATCGCTTACGGATTGCTGTCATGATGAAATGGTTGGGTCACCAACTTGTAACCTCAGAGTGCCGAAATCGAATTGCTCCACCACCACCCGTCTTCTCTAATTCCGGATTTTCTCGATGAGCCTATGGATGGCCGAGGCCGCCCACCTGAATTCTGATTGCACACTTGTATATTCAATAAATGGAACAGGAAGTAAAAAACATGCCATAAAATCATTCGTTTATATGATTTTAGGATGTGGTCGTAAGTTGCTTTCAACTTTCTGAATTACTCCTCTCGCAGGGTAAAGTTCCGTATGCACAGTTTGGAAGGAAAAGTGATGCACATTGTAGTCGTTCACAACCAGTCTCTAAATTTGCTGAAAATGGAACACTACACCAGGGACACGCGAGGGAACTCAAACATCCACTCAAAGTGTAGAGGAACACTTAAATTTATTCCCTTATGAAGTGCAACAGCTGCCGTTCTGTTCCTCGTTCTTGGAATCTCAATTATCATTAGAACGAACCGCCAGCTATCACACCATATCTGAAAAGCGATAATAAAACCGTGACAATCATCATCATCATCATCATCATCATCATCATCGTCATCATCCGAATCATCATCATCCGAATCATCATCATCATCATCCGGATCATCAACATCATCATCTTCATCGAATTTGTTCAGCATAATACAGTGAAGCCTGGTGGAAAAAGATGTTTGAAGTTAACGTCTGTTAGTTAATTCGTTTTGCGTAAATTGCACATATATCTAGTGTGAGACGACATCGGTTCAATCTGTGCAGATATATTGCGGATGGTTGAAGATTCACATGAATGAGGTGATCACATGGAATGATATCTGTTGATTTGCTTGATTCAGCTAGGAAGTGCCCACTAATGGGAGTGCAACGTATTCCGGTCAGTGAATGTGGCAGTTGCACAATGTAGCATTGTCCTAATTGACGGATGTAGATGTCACCATGGAATTCAGTAAATCAAAGAAGTTTAAATGTGTATTATCTTTCACCTAATATCTGTTAGGCTAGATCCAATTATGTGATACCGGTTTACCACATATAAATTATTCCCGCACAAATGCATCAGGAACGTAATATATGGGTCCTACATTGACTACTGCGAAATTCTAATCACTGTGAAAAGAATTCTTGCATCATTCAGTCCATGCTAATTTTTTGATGTGACAAAATCAGACAACATTTCGAGAGCAGTAGTAGGGTTCGCGACACATGCATAGGTCCTGCCTGATTATCCTCATTGATACGCCCAAGTATTCTCTCCGACTAATCAGTGTGTGGTCAAACCTAATTGCAGAAACGAATGGGCGGCGGCGGTGGCGACCGTAACTGGAAATCGTCAAGTCCAATCTCATGCACAGCGGATACGGAAACACAGGGATGGGTGAGGCAGTTGATTTCTACGTAAACCGTGATTCTACGGGAAAATGAAATCGATCAAAAAACGATAAATTGAAGCAGAATTCGAGCTTACTTGACTCCAAAGTACAGACAGTTTGACTCGTGGCGGCAGAGAATGACGTGCAAAATTGTGATACAGTTAAATCAAAATCGAATCGTGCAGTTATAAACACATAAAGGCAGAAAAGTAGCAAGAAGTAACTGAATGAATAATAATTCGACTTCGGTAATCTGTCATTTGGCGATAAATCTTGCGTAGAGCAATAGAAGAATGTTGCCATTTACAATCAGACTACCCGTATACTGATAGTAATCAAATTGTTTATGCTGAAGGATTCGAATCATCATTCGGATATTTCACAGCACAAAATAAACAATCCACAGGAGAGGATGTCGAAGGATTTCGATATATTCCTTAGACGAATTGCTACCGTCGATTTTAAAACCAAATTCCATTTGGTAAACTGAGTAAGTCAAAAACCTGTTATTGCTATTCATAAGATACGCAAAATAAGCCGAATCCTTTACCGATTGCTGTTAAGACCAAGTTCTGAGGTCACAAAATTGTGAC